AATTATATTCGGTTGTCGACTTGCACGCCGGTAAAGTATTTATGACGTAATTATAATTTTTAAAACATTTCTTATAATCTTTGAGAAAGACTTTGAGACCACTTACAATCAGTTCGATCAGTTTCGGTCATCGTGTTTATGCTATTTGGCTGTATGTGTACCGTGTTATTTAAATTATGCTGGATAGTGATGTTGAGCTTGTGTCTTTCTTATCATCAACATGCAGGTAGCGAACATTTATGTCTTAATTTTGAATGCAAATGACGAACAGCAACTGAGGGATGAATAGAGTACATAGAAAACTTGGTGAACATCTTTACCTGCCTTTTTTTTACACTCACCGCAATTATTGAGATATCGACTTATAATTTTTTCTCGTGACTTATGAGATGAAGAGAAGTAGAATGTGAATAACTTTCATTGGTCGACTACAACCGAGGTGGGGGTTACTCGAATGCTGAATTAGATTCTAGCATTTTGATTCTAGCGCTTGAATTTTACAGTTTCACTGAAGCCTGATCTCGACCGATCATATCCAGAGTGGAAATCACGCTAAGACTATTGACTGTAATTGGAAGTTTCCTTTGCCTGTGAAGTATACGAACGTTTTGTTAGTATAGCAATTTTAGCGGAAAAATTTTAAGCTGTGCAGTTGTTACCGATTGTTTAGACTAACAATAAGCTGTCACGTTATCAAATTGATATTTTGTTCTGATTATGTGCTCACTTATAATGTAGACAGAGCAAAAAAAATTGAGTTAATGATAAACTACGTTGGTAATTGTGCCGTAAAACAGATTTATTCGGGAATCAGTGAATAACGAAACAAAATCGGCGAATACCATATGTCGCTCCGTCGAGTTCGGTCTTCGCTTGATTGACTGGGTACGTCGTGTGCAATTTTACGCCGAGTCTGTTGCATATCTTCGATGGCAGTATTTCAGACCTTTCAATATCGGTGCTTGATCATGCACTTCAGCGAGAGTAATATTTTTCTCCTCATATGGACGTGATGAGCGCAACTGTGACTTGTAGCCTTTTTGTCCATCAAACTGATTATTATGGTATTCAACGTTTGATAAGGTTCCTCATCACGATGTACGTTGAGTACAAAATCAAATACAGGCACAAATTGCACATACCAGATTCTATATTACGGATCTCAAGCAAATAATCGCTAGAAGGAAAACTTTTGATTACGTACATTTGCAAATTAATTCATATATCTCCGGTAATAATTTGCGAATTTCTGCCTATTCTATGTTGATCAATATTTCTTCGAAATAACTCATTATAGTCTGCTGAAAAATCATAGTACAAGTTTTCTTTGCGGAGTCTAATTAATAGTCACGTTTAGGTACTTCACGTGAGCGGACAGATCGATATTCTTCGTCGGCAATTACTGACAATTTGCGGCAACGGAACTGCGCAGCGCTATTCAATCGTCGCAAGTGTCAGGCTTTTGATTATTTGGCACCAAAGAATAATAATGCTCTTGGACAATATCGAGGAACTCTAATCTGACATCGCGCTGATGCAGTTTTTATCGAATATCGTCATCATCTGTTGCATCAGCTTCACCATCATAGGCGTAAGTCGCGTAATTAATGAAATAATTATGGTGATATTTTGTAATTATTGTATTATTTTGTAATTTTATGCTAAACCTAAATACTTTGAATATCTTCCGAGCTCTCTGCCATCTTCTCGTAGTCTCTCATTAGGGACGGACCCACCGTAGTAATGCTGAAGTCCGCTATCTTTTACGTCGCCGTAACGTTGGAAGCCTTTATCTTTTGTTTCGTGGGGGAATACCTCAGCGCCAAAGTTCGTGTAATATTTTATCTTATACGTGCAATATTCTATTTCTCATTCTTCGGGTCCGCTGGCAATCAATTTTTAAACTTTTTGCATCTTCTGCGGAACAATTTACTGAGAGCATTGGTCAGTTCAATGTATATCTACATTACGGCTCTTGTGTTTCTTAAATGTCCGAAAACTTTCAGATGGTATCACTGGATTGAACCTGAAATCGAATTCAGATAAATTGATAGACTTTTTCCTTTTGAGTTTGTAAGCTGTTTCCTTTCTTTTTCTGCAGAGCAAATCAATTGGCGATGCAGTCTACGAGACGTTCTGGTATAACATGACACCTGCCGAGTGTCGGATTTTGTTATTTGTGATATTAAGATCGCAGAAGAGATTGACGATGACCGCTGGAAACGTCATGGACTTTTTTCTGGAAGGATTTACAAGCGTAAGAATATCATGATAAGATGAAATGTCAAGATATTTATTATTACTTAAGACAAAGCAGAAAATAATGCGCCATCTATTACGCGAATAAAATTTATCGTTTTATTTCGGTTAGGTGATGAAAGCATCAGCTTCGTACATGTCGGTGCTGCATGCGATGTATTAAATGAGATTAGTGGATAATAATTACTTGTGCCAAGCGCATCCATCATGATTATCGGT